CCTGTAATAAATGGAAGGTTTCTGAAGCATATCGCGTGTTATGTGTATGTGTAAACTTACACCGGGCGTGTGAGACGAGACAAAGGGAACCCAATAAAACATGACATGAGTAGGTTAAGTAGATGTTTGAGTGGCCAAAGGGTCAAAATGGCATTCATTTGTCTGGTTAGAAAGGTTTRAAGAGGTAAAACGTGCACACAAGCGCCATCCTGAACACAAGCCTGTGTTAGCACACTAATTCCACACTCAGAGAACACACAATCTGTTTGAACAAGCCACTTGGCTCAATTTAGCGCCTTCAGCGAAAACTCAGTATGAGTTAGAGCATGAAAGAGTGAAGCAGAGGCCTGATTCATTGTGACTCTTTGGACAACAGAGGCCTCTCAACAGGGCTGGTCGACAGAACAGAGACCCCATGCAGGCCCGGGGATGAGCCAGAGGGATGGATAAATACGAATCTGATGAAATGGGCCTCATTGGGAGACCGCCTGACCAGTAGTAAGATCCAACCTGGACGTGATATGGAGCAGAGAAGATGACCCAACGGTGGGTGGGGAACCTCTGAGATCATTAAAAGGCCTCAGCGTGGCCATTTGATCAGAGTTGAAACCACTGAATGAAAACACTGAACAGAGCAAGCTGCTGTGTTTTCCCCCCCTCATCTGGGAATCAATCGACATGTGGGTGGGAGTTCTTTTCATCGCCGAACCCAAGTCTAACTGTTTCTGGGTTTGAAAAGTAACATGTGAAGCACATATTTATGTGATCAGTTCACAAAAATAAGATCATTATACCATTGCATGATAAACTATATTAATTATTCCATGGTAACATTATGTTTTTGGATGTTTTATTATTTTTAGATGATAGAAGTGTGAAGAATCCAACTAAGAAACAATGTAATTCTATAGGGGTGTCATCATAAGGTATAAAACTTTGCACCTTAAAAGTCTTCCCCAATGACAAAAACATCATTTTGATTTCAGAGACATAAGATGTATTTAAAAAAAAGGGGGAGCCGTTAAATTTGTGGTTCAAGTCGGCTACCCAAACATGAGAAAGTCCAAACAGACACTGTCTGCAAAGCACTATGCGATCATTTTACTCATACTTTATTGACTTTATTTCCCTGTATTTCTGTCTACACTGTAAAAAATGAAATGTTGGATTTACTTAACCATGTTATGTGACCTGGTTCCACTTAACTGAGTTGAGTAAATTCAAAGCAATATACCAGTTTTTTGACCAAAGAACATGAGCATGTTGCTTTGAATTTACTCAACTCAGTTAAGTGGAACCAGGTCACATAACATGGTTAAGTAAATCCAACATTTCATTTTTAGAGTGTAGTTTAAGAAGTTACAAATCAAGTTTCCATTATACTCGCCATCAGAGTTTAAAGAGGTTTAAAAATTAAACAGGGGTCAGAAATAATTACACAAGTAGACATTATTGTCCCTTACCGGAACTTTTCTGAGAAGAGTTCCTTTTATTGTAGATGTCTCACTTTGTGGTCCCATATCACTGGGTGGCAAAAAAAGAGGAATAAAAAGGAAAAGGAAAAGAAAAAATCTCGACAATGATCCCAGACTGTGTGAGAAAGTTGAAAACAGGAAACCAAATGAAAATGGGCTGGAGCTGTTGGGTAAATGACTGTTAATAAAGACATCTGGAATAGCATCAAAAATGCTATCCAGCATGTTTTAGAGGCTTAGCTGCTCCAACACACCTGATTTGAATGACTGAACAAAATGGGTGATTAAAAGTCTTCTGCAGAACGTAAAGAGGTCATTCAGGCATTGAATCAGGTGTGATAGAGCAGGGAAACATGTAGAACACGCAGGATGGTAGCCCTCGAGGACGAGGATTGGACACCCCTGCTCTAAAGCAACAACACACGCAATAAAGTCAATGAAATTATCTGTGTTCTTTACAGCTACAGTACCTGCCTTTTGTGACCAATACATTCTATGATTATTGTTGCTGATTTTAGGGACTGCCAGGCGTGTCTGTTTTTGGGGGAAACCTATGAAAGGATAATTGAACAGTCTTTATTAGCGGCAGACCTCAGCTGTGTGAAAAACAGATCACTCACCCAGCATGTTTCCACCGCTGGACGTGACGACACGTGTACTGCTATTAACTGAACATAAACGTGGTCTGTTCCTCTCCCTGCACAAATCAGAACCACCTGCCCGAGGTCCTGAGAACTGCCTGGTCCTCTCTCCCCGGAGCTCGTACCGGAGAAAGAGAAAGAGAGAGAAAGAGAGAGCACCACTTGTTTGGACAAACGTCAGGACCCAGCTCCAGGGGCTCCTTCATGAAATGAAGAGCAGAGAGGAGAATCTCACCCTTCACAGAGCCTCCTTCAACCTGGAGCCTCATCTCTCCCCTTCTGAGCCGGGCCTAATATTTTTTAATTACATCCAGGAAACTCCTGTTACAAAGGACACTTTCTTAGTTGGTCAGGAGGGAGTCTATGAGAAATTTAGGGGTCACTCTCCTTTTTCTTCTTCATCCATCTTTTTTTTTTATCCTCACTGGGTGTGCGTGGGTGGCAAATGTATCAACTAAAAAAGTCGCAGGCATGCTAGAGCCGGGTGAATTTTGACAGCCTATTTTTCCTAACCCAGGAAGGCATCGGGTCTTTAAATGTAAGCTCCTCTACTGCAGACATCATCAAAATGAAAAATAAAGAAAAAAAGAGAAAAAGAAAAAAATCTCTACTGCACAAGAAGTAATAAAAACATTTCAACACTTTCCTTTTCTCTCTTCTCTTCCAATAAACTCTAGTTTATTAGTTGTCAATATTAATTAAAATTTACCTAATAGAACAGAGGTTTAGACGTGTCATCAAGCTTTTTGTTCACTCCGAGGTTCTTTGCTTCGGTGGTCTCTAACTGACAGAAACTCGGGCGCTATTTGTTATCTTTAGGTCCAATAAGTCCATCTGGTTTTGATTTGGCTCCTTGAGATCGCCCCCGGAGATGTGGATGGAGGAGACTTAAGGGTGAGGCGGCATGGTGGAGGGGCAGATCTCCTCCTTTTTTTTCTTTTTTTTCAGTCCTTAAATTGAATTTCTCACCATTTTAACCTGGGCCTTAAAGCAGGGATAGAGAGATAGCTGGCTTTTGGCTTCAAACCCTCGGGCTCACAAAAAAAAAAAGACAGAAAGAAAAGAGTTGGAAAAAGTCCTTGAAATAAATCAAGATCACCTGTTTTGCATGTTCAGAATAACACCTTCTTTCTGACTCAGATTATCCACCGTTATTGGTTGGACAGGAATGTATGAACTCCTTCTGAACCAATATGAAAATGTTTTGTGTCTGAAGAGTGAACAGAACATACAAACAGTGAACTAATCTAACAGCAGGAACTAATTGTGGAAGTTCAAATTTGTGGTTTTGAATCTAGATTGTAAAGACTTGTAATTTTAGTAAGATAAAGGTATACTTTATCAGCTTTAGCTGTGTCCCTTGTACATCTCTCTGCTGTGCAATCACAAAACATGGTTCAGTTATTTATTGTTGGTATTTTTGTTGTTGTTGTTTTGTTTTTTGTCTGCAGGACTAAATGATGAGCAAGAAACAGGTGCTTCAGAAGCTCAAAAGCCCCTAGAAGAAGATTGTTTCAATTCAACAAGAAGACTGTGATTTTGCCAAGACAAACRATCCAACTTGGCAACAAGTAGCAATAATTCTTTTTACCTTTTCATGAAAGAAATTGTGTCTGTAAGACGAAGAAATTGGAAACCAGTTCAGCTGGAACTTCCCAGCAAAACATTATGATGATCGGTAGATCATTGCCATTTTTTAACAATAAATATTGTTTTTTTTTTCTTAAACATGTTTCAAATATAATACTTGATAGCTACAGTAAATGTGTTTAATCTGGATTTAACCCTGGATTTAACTCACTGGACTGGACTGGATTTAACTAACCCCTAACCTAACCCTAAAC